TGGCTGACCTCCGTTTCAGCTCAACGGGCCGAGAGCTGCGTACCGCCGGCAGCTGACCCAGCGCCTTGTCATCCCCTCCCGGAGCGCTCCGAAAAGTCTACTGTGAACACCACGACTTAGAATGATGCCCTGCGCTGAGACGAAGCATCAGTGTGGCACCCCTTCGGTGACCGACCGGCCAGGACAAGGGACCAGAGGTGTGTGCGTGTCGGCGCCGCGACTCGTGCAGGACTATCGGAGAGGACGTCTCTGCGAGGGACTCCCCTCGGTCAACACTTCTAGACGCGGTGGCTCTGGGGCGTCTCTGTATGCGTATTGCCTAGAGTCTATGTGCTTGAATCACGCGGGTGATATCGAATACGCTTTTTGAATGTTGTTGCTTACTGCTTACCTAGACGGCTGTGGATAGTTTCTCACGATAGTGCGCGGGTCTATATTATTCATATACACATTTCTAGCCAGTCTTGTGGTGAAAGCTTTGACGAGACTTGTTATTTACATGCTGCAGTCAGTTGCCTGTAGCGCAACGATAGCTATGGGCGGCAGCAGATCGTCACGAATGACGAAGGCATAGTGTGTTTGACGTTGAGAGAAAGCTAATATGACAAATATAACAAATAGATCCATTCATTCAGTCTCCCAGAAAACTTCAAGGTCCTTTGGTGGTTCTCGTCACAATGCGGCTACATGCCGATTGGGCGTGTATTTGGCTGAACGTAGACTATTGGTCTGCGTTTGGCCGAAGCAGACGAACGGACGAACCAGGTGAGCTAAATCGACCGAGGCGGCAACCCGTCGACTAAGCACACCCCTTTCACAGCCTTGTGCACCGAGGAAGCAGTATACAGAGCCGCAGCATCGGTCGCTCTGGCAGTCGGTCTAGAACCATGGACCGGTTACATGCCCCGGCACCGGTGGGTGGTGGGATGGGACGATTCCGCAGCGCTAGGATGACGAAAAGTGACTGAGAAACCTAGGAACGCGTACGCGAACGTTTATTGCAACAGGGGCGGCGGCCAGCGGAACGGACCACTGGCCTTGCACTAGCCACTGGTCACTGGGCCCACGGCACGCTGCTGCCCGCTACCCGATGTTGCCAGGCATCGGCGCTAGGTTGCCATGGAAACATAAGCAGAATGATCACTTATGCTCACATTTACGTTTTTATGGTTCCGTGGGACATTGGTCCGCTACATTTTGCATTTACGATGCGTAACTTGGGCGTCGTTTCAGTCAAGGATTCCTTTGTTTCAGTATGGGTGAAAGAAAACTTCAGATTGGTAGTTGGTAGCAGTCTTGGGCTGCCAAATTTAGTCGAACACGGCGGCGCACGTGACACCAATACGATTGACGCGAATGTCGTTTGGGTATGCGTGGGAAAGGTGGGAAGGTATCTTAAATTTCTTATTTTTTAAGGTCTTCGATCTCGGCCTGCGGTGCTAGTACCTGTTAAAAGAAGTGTTATTGCAGAAAAACATCTGCAAAACCAATTTTTAACTCTTGGCCAAACCCCGCATCTAATAATTGTGATTGTAATCTCAGGACTCATTTCCTTACCTTACCTTACCTTACCAATACGGGAATTTTGATGGCCACTATGGCCTGTAGGGTCCCGCTCGCATCGAGCTCCTGAACTGAGGACTCTCGTGGATACTAATCTGGGATGAAGTATTTGATTCGGTTCCAGTGATCGTCCAATCTGGCCTTGAACTGGTTGAGAGTGGATGCCAGGATCACAGAAGGAGGAAGCGCATTCCAGTCATTCACAGCTCTTGTTGAAAGTGCGTGTCTTCTGACTCTTGATTGGGCCTGGGGCTTCCTCAACTTCTTGTTGTGACCTCTTGTACCAACTCCAGGGGCAGGTGTGAAGAATTTCTCAGGTTGGACATCTAAACCTCCACTGAAGATCTGGTACATGGCGATCATGTCACCCCTTCTCCTTCGGTAGTAGTAAGTAGAGGGATGGCAGGCTCAGGCATTTGAGGCGCTCCTGGTATGGTAGGTGCTTGATGTCCTGAACAAGCTTTGTGGCTCTCCTCTGCACTCGCTCGATCAACTTTTGGTCGGCTCGGTTGAAGGGTCCCCATATCAGGTTGCCATACTCTAAGTGGGGTCTTACAAGTGTCTTGAACAGCAAGGGTAGGGTAACCCTGTCGATACAAAGAAAGGATCGCTTGATGAGAGCAAGTAACTGGTTTCCTTTTGAGGATGCTGCAGCGGCTTGCATGCGGAACTTCAGCTCATCATCAAGGAAGATTCCAAGATCTTTCTCTGCACGAGTATGCTCTAGTTCGGCTCCACCCATCTTGTAGGTATGGCAGGGGTTTCTCGGTCCCACATGAAGTGACCTGCATTTAGCATCGTTAAATGGGAGCTGCCACCTGTCAGACCATGTGATGACCGCCTCAAGATCCCTCTGGAGTTCCTCTGACCCACTGCTGTGAGACACACTACGGTATATCTTTGTGTCGTCAGCAAAAATCTTGATGGCGCTGTCGACAACTCTGGGCAGGTCATTAATATATAATATAAACAGGGTAGGGCCGAGAACAGAGCCCTGAGGCACGCCGCTAGTGACTGGTGCCCATGGAGAGGAGCAGCCTCTCACCACAACCTGTTGCTGGCGATCTTGAAGGAATGAGGCGATCCATCTCTTGAGAGTTCCCGCGATGCCATAGCTCTCCAGCTTGCTCAGTAAACGCTGGTGGGGCACCGAATCAAATGCTTTTTTAAAATCAAGGTATATGGCATCGACCGGTTCTCCATTCTCTAAGCACAGAGACCAATCCTCGATCACTTCCAGGAGCTGAGAGGTGCATGAGCGCCTAGGCCTAAATCCATGCTGGTCGCTGTGCAGAAGTTGGTTGGCGGTGAGGTGAGTCATGATATGGTCTCTGATGAGTGACTCTAGTATCTTGCATGGTATGGCAGTCAGACTCACAGGACGGTAGTTGCCTGGTTCCTGCCTGCTACCCTTCTTGAAAATTGGGACAACAGTGCCAAGCTTCCAATCATCTGGTAATGACCCAGTGTCAATGGATTTCTGAAACAGAATAGTGAGGGGCCGAGCCAACTGTCCAGCTGCCTCCTTCAATAATCTCGGGTGGATTCCATCCGGGCCGGGAGAACTGGAGGTTTTCAAACCTTGCAGTAGTCTTTCAACCATGGTCTCGGTGATGTTGAGATCCACAGCCTCAGCAGGTGAGCCCCCGGGAGACAAGACTGGGACAGCGGCTAGATCTTCGTCTGTGAATACTGAAGAGAAGAAGTTATTTAGAACTGTAGCCTTCATCGTGTCATCGGTGCACAGGTGACCATTTTCATCCTTCAGGTCCTCTATGCCAGGCTTGGTTTTCAGCCTCGAGTTTGCGTACTTCCAAAACACTTTTGGATTGGATTTCAGCTCAGAAGAGATTCTTTGTTCAAATTCAGCTCGAAGTTTCCTTGTGAGGCTGCGAAGCATGTTGCGACAGTGGCAGTATCGGGCATAATCGAAGGGATCTCCTGATTGTGCATAGGCTCGCCACAGAGAAGCCTTCTTCCTTTTGAGCTTCATTGCCCTGCCATTAATGTACAAGTTCTTGCGTGACCTGGGCCTTGCTGGTGGAATTGATTGTTTGATTGCATCTTGCAGGGATTCCTTGAAGAAGCTGTAGGCCTGGTGCACGTTGCTATCATGCATCCTCGACCAATCAACTTCCCCAACCAGGTCCCTCAAAAGGTTGTAGTTGCCCTTGTTGTAGTTTGGCACAGCATCAGGCGTCCGTCGTTCCGTGTAGCATGCTAATTCAAACCTCAGAGAAATGTGATCACTGTGACCCAGGCCTGGCATGTAAGTTAAGTTTCTCATCATGCCTTCTTCATTGGTGAGAAGCAAATCAAGGGTGCTTGGGGGCTGCCCTGGTCTAAATCTGGTGGGTCTTGCCACATGCTGGGTGAGGAAACAGTCCTGAACACACTTGATCAAGTAGTGAGAGTAGTGGCCTTCTGGTTCTGGAGAGAAAACATTGGCCCAGTCAATTTGGGGAACGTTGAAGTCGCCTCCAATCAGCATGTGTGACGGTTTTGAATGTGATGCTTTCTTCAATACTTCTGTAAGCTCCAGCATGCTTTGATGTCTGTTGGTTGAGGGGCTTATATATATGCAGCCTATCAGGAGTTTGTCGCTGTTCAGTAAGTCAACATTGACCCACAGATGCTCAATGGTTGCTATGGTGCCAAATGATGTTTCTGCACAGCGTAGAGTCTCTTTCACATAGATGCAGAGCCCACGATACCCACTGCAACCCAGCCTTGGTTGGGTAATTTCAAAGTTAGTGTACAAGTTGTACCCGGCAATAGCGAGAAGTGCAGGTGAAAGGGGGAGCAGTTGTGCTTTGGGGATTACCTCGGTTATCATGATGATGTCGGGCTCTGTACCTGCTATTTGCATGCACAAGTCATCACGCTTGTTCACTAGTTGATCTGCGTTTGTATAATAAACAGACAGCTCTCTTCTGTTAACAATCTTACCATGGCTTGTTCTCTGATAGCGTCAATTTTGAGAGCATGGGTTGCGTTCACTGTTTTCGGAGGCCTCCACTGCACCTCCAGTTTGGGTCGGTTCTTGACTCACTGTGACGGGGGTTCCCTGCGCAGCAGATGATCTGGTTACCTCAACCGAGGGTGGCACCTTGCCTGCCGTCTCCCCCTTTGAGGCCTTGCTTCTGCTGTTGCCAGCCTCTTTCCTCTGTCCAGAGGTTGTAGTGGAACCCTCATCTGGCACAGTCACTATCCTTCCCCTCTTGATCACAATGTTTGTCTCACCAGTTTGCCGTCGAGCAGTGAGTTCTTCCCTCAATCGCTTTCCTTCCTCCCGTTCCTTTTTGGATAAATCAGGTGTGACGTAGATCCTCTTCCAAGTAGTTAAATGCCGGAGTATTTAACTACTTGGAAGTCAACTTGGAGTCAATTGTATTTAAGTGAAATAGACAAGATCGGCAAGATGAAGTTGTTACCTGCCTCTCTATCACACTCACAATGCAATCTGTCGCTGTATATTTTTGATTGCATGCATCACCTTGACCTCCATGTCAGCTCAATTCAATGCATTGAAATGTAAAATACTGGGGTTGCCGGGCGCAGATATCGGGATTAGGTATTGATTATCTCCGGATAAATCAGGAATGAAAGAGGTGTCCTTCATCTTGATTGGAGCAATTCTTTGGATGTGCTTAGGCCTTATAATTCAGATATACTCTTGAACGACATACTTGTCTGAACTTGGTCTGAACGGTCTGAACACGGACGATGGTGAAAACAGGGTGCCTGGGGCGATTTGATCAAGGTTTGTGAAATTTACACGTGATGTTTTACATGTAGAAGGCCCATGAAGGGGAGAACTTCCAAATGTCTCGTGAATAATATGCCCCCCGGCGCCCATTTTTCACCGGCGTCGCTGAACACAGGTTCCAGGCTTTTCACTCTGAAGGTAGAGCTACATTATCAGTGATCGTTCAGGAAATTACGTGCATGATCTGCAGACCTGTGATTGCGAGACTCCCTTGATATCGGTTTGCGATTTTAAGAATGCTTGTCACTCTATACCTAATAGGAGCATGGCTTTGATTTTGCTTGGCCTTATGAAAGTCAACAAATATAGTCCTGGAAATACAGGAATAGAGAATAACATTGAACAATGCATGTTTCAATGTCAACAGACTGTCAGAATCAGTAAGATTTTGTTAAATCCAATTAGCACTTAGCTTAGCCCTAATGAATAAACAAATGTTAACTCCATTTCTAAATGGCCCCATGTCCACAGTCCTGATGCCTACATTATGTGAGGGTAGAGCATTAACCCGCGCCGGGCCGGGGGTGTTTGAACACCCCCTATGTGGTTTTTCGCAGATATCTAAAGAACAGCCGTGCTTGGCACACCTGTTCATGCATCTTTTCCGCACATGTGAAAATTTCAGACCCAGGGCTCTGAACTCTGAAGGTCAGGTCACCTGGTCATGTTAAGTGACCTCACCCCAGAAAAAGTTGCAATCCTTGTCATAGCTACACCAACTGAACGATCCCCTTGAAACTTTCAGCGATTGTTATGAGTAACAGTATGTGCAAAATGTATACCTCAGAATTTTGATATCGGTGACCTAAAGTCAGGCCAGGTCAATTTTGCGACCTCTCCATTATAAGTCAATGTTCATCCATTATAAGTTCATTCGATGCGTCTCAACGAAACGAACACGATGCTGGCAAAAGTAAATTCGTGGGTTGCTCGTATCAAAAGTTATTCCCGAAAAACCATTTTCGTGAAAATGGCTATTTCTACAGTTTTTTGCCCTCGGGAGGCTAAACCGTTGACCTGAGGTCAAATCTGAGAACACTAGTCAGAAAGATCTGTAAAAGGACTATCGAATGCGATTTTTCGCGGTGCTGTAGCTCTATTGGTTCCCGAGTTAGCCATTGGCAGTTTCCAAAATTGTTGAAATGGACTTCGTTTGACCTTTGATGAATTCTGGCGACCTGACCTTTGACCTGACCCAAAAAATGACTAAAGTGTTTCCGTCATTATTGTTGACGCTCTTTCGAATCTCGCTTACCGCGTGTCTCTAAGGCCCAGGAGCCGAGTTAGACGGGGGGATGTTCAGACACCCCCCCCCCCCCCTCCGGCCCGGCGCGGAAGTCGTGGAACACCGGCCCGGCGCGGGTTAATGCCTTCCATCATTATTCATTTTTACCTTGTACATAATAAGAATGACCAATTATCTCTTAATTGTTATTTTTCAGGGTCCCTTAATCACTGATTTTTTCTGGTCTTTCCTGAGCCTGGTCGCAATGCGAAAGCTGCTTCTTCTGTCAAGTTCCTCCTACCACGGAGCTGAAGGGTTCCTAGGATGGTGCGGTGATCTTCTTACAGAGTTCCTCGGGAAGGAGGTTTCTCGTGTGTTATTCGTGCCATATGCCTTGTTCGACTACAATGAGTACACTAAGACTGTGCGAGACCGGCTAAAGCAGCTCGGCTATGAGGTGGATGGCATACACGAGCTGGAGAACCCGCTGCAGGCCGTGGAGCAGGCTCAGGCCATCTTCGTCGGCGGCGGCAACAGCTTCCGGCTACTGAAGACGATGTACGACCACCGGCTGGTGGACGCCGTCCGCAAGCGTGTGCTGCAGGACGGCATGCCGTACATCGGCTCCAGCGCCGGCACCAACCTCTCCACGGTGAGCATCTGCACCACCAACGACATGCCGATCGTGCACCCGCCGACGTTCGAGGCGCTGGCCCTGGTGCCGTTCAACATCAACCCGCACTACATCGACCCCGATCCCAGCAGCACGCACATGGGCGAGACGCGAGAGAAGCGCATCAGAGAGTACCACATGTACGCCGACCGGCCGCCCGTGCTTGGTCTCAGGGAGGGCAGTGCGCTCCTGGTACTCGGGGACAAGGCTGTGCTGAAGGGTCCGACAGGCGCGAAGCTGTTCAAGCCCAAGGAAGAAGCTGAGGTGTTTGAGTCTGGGTCCGATGTGAGCTTCTTGTTGAAGTGAATCGATGTCGATGTGATGAGTCGATTGGTCATAAATGAAATAGGGATCATGATTCATGATTGTTCAATATGTTCAAGTTCATAGTAAATGTCACCTGATATTGCTGAATCAAAGTCGATTTTTATTCCAGTCTTGAGTATTATCAGAAAATGGCTGAGTTAACAACAAATGGTACAATCGACATGGTTGGATGGGCGCCTTGGGTATGGTAAGCAGTAAGGGTAATGGTAAAGATGTGATTCTGTACTGGGTTGTGCGTTTTCCGAGTCTCATACAGCCATGCGCGAAAGTGTCAAACGTGGTTTCGTGATCGAATGTCAAGATTTTGTTTTCATTCAGGTGCTATATAGGTACCGGCCGTTTTTATGCACGCGAGCACATAGTTATTATTGCTGGCTGTTTCCTTGTTATCGTTGAATACGATCGGCAACATTACTTACCTACTCACTGTGGATGCTTAACAATAAAGGGATGATTTGCTGTTAGGTCGTATGTGATGCATGGTCCGCACTCCGCAGATTGAAACGTGCAGAACAAACAGTTGGAATGCAGCAATGTGATTACAAATACTTGTGCAATAGGCAGTAGCTACAACAGCGAAGAAGGTGGCTACTGGCTACCAACTGGCTACAACAGGTGGCGCGGCTGGTAAGATGCTGGTCCGTGGTTCGGGACAAGATTCTTACAGATAGTTCGGAAGGGCTGGATGGTCGACCCCCGGGTACCTACCTACCGCCCGTCTTCCGGGTTGTCGCGGTACCCAGCTGTACAATCAGGATGGATTGCGGCCGCGGGGTGCATCTTCGCATGCAGTAGCGGGCGGAACACCTTCAATTAAGGGGGGGGGGGGGCACTGCCGACTTTTGGTCCCATTCTTTCCATGCAACGCTCATAGGGCTAATGTCAAAATGCCAAAATCAAAGGGGGGGGGGGGGCACGGTGCCCTCCCCGTTCCGCGCCCATGTTCGCATGCATAGGCTGCATAGGCCTCGCATGCAAGACTTGTGATCTACTCCTGATTTTCTAACACTAACATCTGATCAGCTGCAGTCCTGGCCGGATGAATCCTATCCCAAGGCAAATTCCTCGCCACTGTAGACTGCAGTTTCCCGTCCAAGTTGCAAGCAAGCAAGTCCTTTACTTTTGCCTTCAATCTGCTTAGTTCCGCTTAGCCATGGCTTAGCATTAGGGTGTGTCACTAATCGCAATGCAAGGTGCTCCATCGATTTTATTGTGCCCCACTCATGTGGAAAGGGCGTGGCATTGTTAATTTCCCGCAAATTTTAACCCCCAGGCGGCGCCGAGCGAGAGAAGTTTGCCCTATCTCACAACATAGGCGACCCTAGCGCCCCTGGCGGCTGTTTGCGAAACTAACAGGCCGTTGACTGTATGGGCTTATCCCTGCTCTCTGTAAGCGCGTCTAGGGACAAATAATAGTATGGGCAGATTGCAGAGAGTGCAAGCTAATGACGAATACCTATAATGAATACAATATATTGTCACAGGGGCCCAGGAAAATTCTTCAAGTTGGGGTGCAAGCCCAAAATACCTGACATGACGCATATGAAATAGTAGCGTAGTCAGGGGGTCCCAGGACTCAGGAGGCACGTGCCATCTAGTCCCCCCCCCTATCGCATTCAGAGGACCCCTCGGGTCGGAGGGGCTCTGTGGCACCAGTTTACCGCTCAGGGTCTATGCTGGCCATATTTCGATTCAGAAAGAATAGGGCTCGTAACAGCACCACGTGAGTCCAAAGAAGCCTCACTAAATTGTCCATGAGGGTTACACGCCGGCTTCTGAAGGCTACTGGCGGCCTCTGAGGGCCCTTTACCGGCCTCTTATGGCCGCTAGCGTGCCTCTGAGAGTCCTTGCCGGCCCAAGAGGGGCCATATCTAGGGCCTTACGCCAACCTGTAATCAGTAATGGCCTCACACCAATGTCTCTGACGGCCCCATTACGACGACTGTGAGACTGAGGGCCCTCACTGGTGCTTCTGAGAGCCCATCCGGCCATAAAGACCCCTCCGGTACCAATTGACCTCTGAGGGTCCACGCTGACTATATTTCAGCTGAGAAAGACCTCACAGGTCTCGTAAGAGCAACTCATGAGCCCCTAAGTAGCCACACTAAGATCTCCGTCAGGGTCTACGCCGGCTTCTGAGGATCCCATAACGGAGACCGTGAGGGCCCTCAGCAAGGCCTCTGAGGGTTCACAACCAGCACCTTTGAGAGACCCACACCAGTGGTTCTAAGGGCCCATAAGGACACCACTGAGGGTCCCCCAAGCCAGTGCCACACCATTTATGCAACCCTATATTGGTGGCTCTGAGGTACCCACACCTGCGCCTGTCAGGGTTCGGCAAAAGCATATCTGACGGCCACCTACCTGCAACTCTGAGGGCCCTACACCAGAGACTGAGGGCCGCACTGGCGTCTCAGAGTTGAGAGTACCTTGTCGGTATGTAAGGACCCCACAGGGCTTCTGAAAATGCCGCCGGCCTCTGTGGGCCCCTTGCCGGTCTGAGGTCCCCCTCCCCGGTCGTTGAGGGCCCCCTGCCGACTTTTAAAGGGTTCGCACCAGCAGCTCTAAGGGTCACACACCCACATGTAACGGACCCACACCAGTGTCTCTGAGGGTCCACAACGGCGTCTGTATTCTGTGAGGACCCTCACCGGCGCTTATGAGGGATTCACACTAGCACCTCTGAGGGGCCACACGGGCGTCTGTGAGGACCCCACACCAGTGCCTCTAAAGGCCCCTAATTGGAGGCTCTGAAGGCCCTGCATCGGTGATACTGAGGGTCCTACCAAAGGCACAACACAAGCCATTAGTCTCCTTCTGAGTCCCACACGCCGCCCTCCCACCATAGGCGGCGGAACGGGGAGGGCACCGGGGTACCGTGCCCCCTCTGATTTGGGCATTTTAACATTAGCCCTATGGGCGTTGTATGGAAAGAATGGGATCAAAAGTCGGCAGTGTCCCCCCCCCCCCTCCACTTAATTGAAGGTGTTCCGCCGCTACTGCCTCCCACCGGAGCGAGTAAACCTGTATCAATCAACGACTTTACCACCGTTGTACGTCATAATGTTCTCATCACGCCAAATCAAATACCATCTGGAACCAAAATGGTCCGGTCCAGTATAAAATCTGGCCTACCAAAGTTATGATCAAGTTCAGATAAAATCAAAGTGGGATGACAATAGCAGGTGTTCTTAAATCGATGCCGAATCAGCAGAAACCATTCACATGCAAGAGAAATACCTTGTGCTGATGTTTATATAAAAACAGACATGTAGGTCCATAAAAGGGAGCAGAGATCCTTCATCGTTGCATCTATGTTGAGGGGGCGGCGCCCACTCGGCTCTCAAGTTAGAGGGGGGCAAGCGCCCCCACTGCCCCCCCCCCCCTGTTCCCCGGGGTCTATGCAGTGAACGACGCTACAAAAAAAAAACATGTGACACCTAATAGCAGGCACTATAAACATGCGCTCGTACGTATCCCGTCAGACCAGGACGGGGATCGGGGGTAGTACTATGCAATATACATTAACACAGAACTATTTCGTGCTTTAAGATGCATAACATCACATTTTCACCAACATTCTGAGTGCCAGACAAGCCAACAGCAAGGCGTCATTTCGGTAAAATGCATTTAATGATGATCGTAAGCTCACAAAGCATAGCGAGCGTGTTAGTTCAAAACATTGCCGCTAGGGGCGCTGAGGTCGCTAATGCTGGGAGATAGGCCAAAGTGTCGGCGGTCGGCGCCGCATGGGTGTTAATATTTGGGGGAAATAAAAATGTCACACGGTTTCTACGTGTCTGGGGCACGATAAAATCAGTGGAGCACCATGTTTTGCGAAAAAAGTGCCCAAAATGACACACCCTACTTAGCATAGTACCGTCATACATCGCATTTTGCAAGGCATGGGTCCTGTTTGACGGCAGTCGGCACTACGGCAGTAGCGCGCGCATCAGTGTATTGCGCTTCCGTGGAAAGGTCAACAAACTCGGACGCTCGCATACCCAAGATTCCTATAGATACGCGTACCTACCTATATCTACTACAGACTGAAGACATGGCAAGGCCCAAGCAAGGCCGAAGGAAAAGCGAAAAGCAAATATTATGGTAGAAGTTCTTACGTATAATGATTTTGCAGTAATATAAGTTAGATACCAGTATGTAAATAAAGCCATCCTTGACAAATGACAATGCCTTAAATCGTCTGTTCAGCGTTTGGCCAACGCAGCTATTTTTCCTCGCGTTGTCGCAGTAACTAACATCTTACAACTGATTCGTCGCCATGGGGAATGTATGACATCATACACTTCCAATCGCACCAATTGACTCCGAAATTCAGCTGATTTTACAAGTGTATGACGTCAGCTACCGATGTGTCGATAACGCCTATTTCATTTATATTGATATACACTGTGCCTATCCTATTTCTTGAAACAAATAGAACGCATATGTGGCGATTTGCTATCCTTTGTGTATTGTAGATATGAATTTCAGTTTATGTGGTGTTGATGGGGTGAATTGTGAGAGGCATGTACTTGTCTTAAATATTTTTTATCAATGTTCTATCATTGGGTTGATTTATTGTTATGTATAATTGCCATTGTTGACAGTTTAAAGGAAATAGTTCACTTTCCTGAAATTAGTATTTTGCTATGGATTTATGTTTTTTTTTATGCTCAAAATGATCAGAAACTAAAACAAAACGTTTTTGTAAAAAGGATTATTTTCTATATTTTAGTATAAGAAGAACTATATTCTATATAAAATAATGTTTGACGCGGAAGCTTATTACGCGTTGACCAATCATATTGCGTAGGACAAACCCATCGGCTGTAAGCAGCATTCTGATTGGCTGACGATGACGTGACTGCATTCCTCAGCAAGGCACGCATTCCTCTGCAAGGCACTCTTTTCGGAACGAAAAATGGAATATCTTCGTCTAGGGTGATCGTTGAGCCGTAAAAGCTTCTCATTTGTGCTAGTCTCAGCGCAAGCAACAAAACTGCTATTTCAGTTCCAAACCCCATGTTAAAAGTGAACTATTTCCTTTAATGGAAATAGCTCACTTTCACGAAATTATTTTTTTGCAATGGATTTATGAAATTTATGTTCAAAATAAGCAAAGAAAATAAATCCTTTTTATATTTTTTTTTGTATTTAAATATAGGAAGAATTATTCAGTTTAAAAAGAAGGAAATGACCCCTGTAAGGCACACGCGATCCTTCTTTTTATTTAACTGCTGAGTGCAGTGTGTGAGGTATGTGCAGCCTCTTATATGGCCTTGTGTGCAGCAGGCATGGGGGTAAGGGATGGGTAGCTGGTATGACCTCACACTGCTGCGTGCTGTCAGCGGTGGGCCGGTCTCGGTTGCAATGGCCGGTCTCGAGTCTGACCGATCTCAGTGGTTGCTGCGTGTGGTAACAGAAGGCTGACGCAGTGATGCAGTGCTGTGGGCGGACCTTGGAGCCTGTGTACGGTCCTACCACACACAGGGCCTGTGAACAGCCCTCAGGTGTTGGTGTTTGGTATCCATGGAAACTTTTGGAATATTCCTTTTATGCTGTTGCTGTGACTTTCCTCATAATGGGCTGTTTTGCAGTTGAGACAACCCAAGTTATCTGTTGAAAATTGAAATTAATTCTGCTAGTATGAGATTTGGGAGGTGTTTGTGTTCAACAGGAATTTTTTTGCAGATTTTCTTAGCACAAGTGCAGCTTCCATAATTCTAAAGTTAAGAACCATAGGTCTTGTTTGAAGTTGGATGGTGTAAATTTTACGCCTAGTGCCTGGTTGGTATGAGTCTCCTTTAGTCCTTTTAAGTTCATATCTGATGATTTTTTACTTCATGTCTTATGGATAAGTCATCAGTCACTTGGACTTGAAAAATGTGACATGATTGATGATCCAGAGCTCATAGTTAGATTATCATGGACTTATGTCAGTACCTACCACTCAGTTCATGGTAGTCACAAACTTATCTATATAAGGAGGCAAAATTATGTATGTATACCTATGCCATAAGCAGCACTTTATGTGTCTGCTGATGGAATGCAAGCTTTCCTGTCACCACATCACTGAGCAGGAAGTTAGGGCAGTGATCAGTTTATCTAAAAGGGAATAGGTATATGTGGCATGTAGTAAAATAAGAGTTATTAGCTGTTCTGTTTTTTTTCATAAGTGCTGTGGGCATTAGCCACACCACTCTAGTGCATCCTGTATCACACCACACTTATCAGCAAAACAATCATATAGCCTTGGGCCAAAACAATTCATGACTGAGTAAAGATGTTACCTACCTACATAGCGATTATTGATATCTGACCTCAACAGTGTGTCCCCAGTCCCCACTCAAATATTATCATCTCAGCAATAGCTTGCAAGCCTTGGCCCTGGTATGAAAAACATTGCATTTTGTGTTTTAAGGGTGTTTTCTGGAAAAATATTGATTTTGGGTATTCATGTTTCAGAATCTAATAGCATCATCACATCCTTGCAATTTCTGCATGGTGATTACTCAAGATGGATGTTGATAAATGGATTGAAGTGGCAAAAGACTGCAAGTACTTGCCAGAGAATGACCTAAAGGTACAGTGAAACTGTTCATATTGACTGACACTGTAGACCATGTACCCACCTAAGCTTTGAAAGAATCTTGGCAAGCCTAGAAAAATACTATGGGCAGCTCTTTGTATTGTATGCAGTTTACTCTTTGACGTATGACAGATAGTATGTTAGCTTCTAAAGTAGCAATCACTGTGCAGTCTGTAGATGAAGGTACAGCGGTGGATGTGGATGTAGTATTGTCATCAGTCAGGTACATTCTTAGGTATAAATATTTCGGTGAATGATATAGGTAGTATCTTACAGAGATTGTTGGTAGGAGAAATGAAATTTTACAGGATTTGCATTGCAGCTGTGAGGAAGAAATGTAAATTATTCATCTCCATTTTTGGTTGTAACATGCAACCATTTCTTGGTTCATTCCCTTGTCCTTTGTTTATCTTCCTTTCTTCAGTACAAGTTTATGTCAATATCAAAAAATGCGCAGTGTAGATAACTATGAGCCTGACTAGTGACTATGCTCCCTGGTTTTCAGAATCTATGTGACACAGTATGTGACCTGCTGATGGAGGAGTCCAACATTCAGCCAGTGCCGTGCCCAGTGACAGTCTGTGGGGACATCCACGGGCAGTTCTACGACCTGGAGGAGCTCTTCAGGACTGGAGGACAGGTCAGTCAGCCACTCCACACCAGATCAGTAGCCCTGCTGCGTGGAGTCAGCGTGGATGAAGACCTGTACCTTTTTTTGTATAAGGTCTGTATGTGTTGGACATGGCCCATGTGTAAATCAATGATCAATGTGTTCAGCCTGGCAGTTGAGACTCCTTTATGGTGTAAGCTGTGCAGAAGGTGGAGTATTAATGGCGTTCAGTAGGTTAACTGTCTGGTCTACTCTGGCCGTTTCACCAGGTTCCCGACACCAACTACGTGTTCCTGGGCGACTTTGTGGACCGCGGCTACTACAGTCTGGAGACGCTCACCCGACTGCTGACGCTCAAGGCCAAGTGGCCCGACAAGATCACGCTGCTGCGGGGCAACCACGAGTCGCGGCAGATCACCCAGGTCTACGGATTCTACGGTGAGCGCAGCTCAGCTGTCAGCTGTCGTGAAACGGCAGTGCTGCCTCTCCTGCCATCCATGATGAACCTGCTAAATCAGCAATGAGTATGGCTCGATGAGTGGTGGCATACCTAGCCGTGAGCCGAGTAGTGCCGCCTGACGGATGGATACCTGTTTGCAGACGAGTGTCAGAAGAAGTACGGCAACGCCAACGCCTGGAAGTACTGCTGCAAGGTGTTTGACCTACTGACTATCGCGGCAGTGAGTACCTACGTAACGTGTGCTTGTTCTCAATTCGTTGGAGAATCACTGCCCCGACGTCGGTGTGAGAGTTAGGGTCAAATATGTTAGTTAGCTACCTTGCGGTGCCCCTGAACTCGAATAATGATGTTAGTCTCACCTCTACCTCGGTGAATGAGGCCAATGCCGCATGCATCTTCATATTTATTGCATTGAAAATTTGAAGGACACGTAATTTCTCATCGACTTCGACAAGAAATACTTTCTTAGCTCACGTAAAACTTGAATATTTCCATGACATTTGACGTGCCTGATAGGTTATGATTTTATTAGTCGTAAAAACGCTGAGTTCACTATTGTGCTTCTGTCATAACTGGTGCCACCGGAAATCCATAATGTTCTGACGGCGTGTCGTCCGTCTGCGTGCTTTCTATCCATCAGATAATTGAGGACGAGGTGTTATGTGTACACGGAGGTCTATCTCCGTACATACGCTCGCTGGACCAGATCCGTGTGATCGACCGCAATCAGGAGATCCCGCACCAGGGTAAGTGACCGCTGGAGGCCAGGTCAGTGACTTGTCCACAGCATGCCCTGCTGGAGTCTGCTGTGTGCGGCGTGGCGAAACATGCACCGGTGGATACACCGTGTATTGCCTTGTTTCTTCGCTTGCGCAGTGCCTTTACCTAGATCACTGCTTGTCAGATATAGCGTTCAATTGCACAGTCAGCTTAAACATCAGTAAAAGGTCTTCTTGATAGGTTTGATGTTGTGCGTTTTCGATATTCCTATGACCAGCGTATATATCGAGCGGTGTTTGGCCGGCCTGCTCGCCCCTCGCGGTGTTCCGTGATCCGACATTGAGTAGTCTGACTTGAGGGCGTTGCCTCGTGACCCCGACATCGAGTAGTTAGTCTGACCAGATGGTGCCGTGCTCCGTCTCAGGGGCGTTCTGCGACCTGGTCTGGTCGGACCCCGATGACGTGGACTCGTGGTCCACCAGTCCGCGCGGCGCCGGCTGGCTCTTCGGCGCCAAGGTCACACACGAGTTCATGGCGGAGAACAGCCTGAAACTCATCTGCCGGGCACATCAGCTCGTACATGAAGGTAAGTGTGTCGCGACGTGCTGGTGTCTGAAATGGGTAAAGCCGTCTATTTTACTCCTTGCGGATCAGCCTAGCAAGTGAATGAAATGAAATCGTAGCCCAATTCCTTTGAACTCCTACAAGTCATGTTTGTTGTCAGCAACACTCGAACTGGTTTCGCCTTGGCTCAATAAGCTAACTAGTCTTTCCGCAAGTTCAGATGCAGACTGTCATGCCATTCTGCAGTTGACTGAGCCGCGACCGCTCTCGTTTGGACAGGGTACAAGTACGTGTTCGACGAGAAGCTGGTGACGGTGTGGTCGGCGCCCAACTACTGCTACCGCTGCGGCAACGTGGCCGCCGTGCTCTGCTTCAACGACATCAACAGCAAGGAGGTGAAGATATTCCAGGCGGTGCCCGAGGAACAGCGCAAGGTGCCGCCCAGCATCACCACGCCCTACTTCTTGTAGGCCGCGGCGGTGCCGGTTGGAAAGGAGAGACACTGGGACGCCCGCGTGGGACGGTCCATAGACGGCGGCGGGCCGAGGAAGCGCGCTGTGACAGCACGGGTCTGAACTGAGGCAGGATGGGAGCCGCTGGCGGAGCGACGAGCCGTGAGGTGGCAGGGTGAGGACGGCCACCGGTGTGTGCCGAGGCGCCGCGGCCGGTGGCGGGCGCTGCCGCCGGCGAGGCCGCGCAGATAATACCGCGGCGGTCGGAGCACTGCGGCACGGTGTGCAGGAAGAGCAGTGTAGTGTGTCTAGCTGTGGCCGGAACCGATTGATTCATGCCATGTGGTGTGGGCTGCGGATGAAGCCGTGTGCGCCGCGGCGCTCACACATCAGACGAGCCGTGCCTCGTCCCACAACCCGCCTGCAGGGGCGATGAGATGACCGAGTCGACTCGCTCAGACTCTGTGTTGGCGAGCTGTCATAACTGGCGGGCGAGCGAGCGTGTGCGACATGCGACAACAAAGCGAGCGCGTGCCGTTCATAATCCGTTGTACTGGGTGAGTGGAGGCCAGGGCGGGCGACCCCGCTCAGCACGAGGCAACTGCCACCGCCGGGCGCCGCGCCCGGCTCTGTAATCGTACGTAGAGGGGTGGGCCCGCACCCGTTTGCCCTACTGAACTGTTAGTATGTGACACTGTACCGTACTGTTTGGCCGTGTACGTACCGGGGAGCCGATCGACTGGTTATATGTGTACTCTCTGTGGTGCGCGGCGTCGTATTGCGCCACGTAAGTCTCCTGCGCCGAGATTGACCCGTGTGTACCTGGCCGGCGGCGCTGCGCCGGGCGTCGTTTTATTGACAGGACCGGTTGTTAGTTAGTCGCTGACGCGGTGTTCGCTGCTGCGGGACGCCGGGACGCTCACTGTCAACTGCAGAAATACAGTCCATAATTTGTACCCGGACTTGATGGGCGGACCTCCTGAATCGGGCCCAATCTTACCAAATGCCGTGAATGCGCATTCACGGCATTTGGTAACATTCACAACTATTCCAAATTCACTTATTAATTCGTTCAGGTAACATTCATAATCATTCACGTCGTTTAACTCATTTGACAAAATTAGCTGTAGGTACCTACATAAAAATAATACCGTTGAATGTTGATATTATTGCCGGTAACTCCGGCCAGTGCTGCCATCCTATTTACGGCATTGGTAAGATTGGGCCGTGATGGTACGTTGAGGGTGCCTTGCTTGAAAGGCGTTGAATGTGGGAGCTGAGGGAGGTATTATGTATGGGAGGTATATGGGAGAGTTCGGAGACATTTCTTTATCAAATGCTATGCGTACTTACACATGCCTGCGTACATATCTAATTGGATAAATCGTTCCCTCGCAGATAAGGTACTCGTGTCATGGTTCGATAATGAAGTAGCGCAATGGGGTCAGCCGCCGTGGTCCTGGTTTTATATGGTAGCACAGCATGAACTATTTGTTTATGATAGCCCAGCTGGGCTCCGGTTGCATTTGCCTGTAATCGGAATCGCCTCTATCGGGTCCTAAGTCCAGAAAGCACTCGAAGTTACATTTCAATCTCAAGTACGAAACTGTCACTCCGACTGCAAAATCATGCATCAGAATTATTTGAACTTAAATCACCACGACAGTGACCGAGCTGCAACCCACAGGACAAATGGCACCAGCTGGGCATAGGCAATCCCATTTTGAGAATTTCTCGTGTTTACGTAACCAATAGGCCAGGCGCAAGCAGACGTCATATTCCACAATGCAAAAATTGTCGAAATTGTAAATGGCATGATACTGACTGTTCGTCTGGTTTGGTGTGAGCAGTGCAGTGCATCACGATACACTCGGGTTTCAAAATGATTTATGGCGTTCAGCAGTGACCAAGCCTGACCAAATGTTACGTACAAGTACTTATCACATAGTGTATTCGCATGCAACCATAACAACTGCTTAGCATAATTCCTTACATAAATAGAGCATTCCACCAAGCCAGCGGGTCATCTGACGCCGAACCCGGCGAGCGGTGGCGAGGGTGAGAGCCCGCGCTGACCGGCGCGCCGCCACACCCGGCACTTACAACCAAGCCAAGCGAATAACGAATGTAAACCGGCTGCATACGCACGAGAGAAGGATTACGTAGTGACGGATACGACTGAGGGTTACACACTGCGGAATACGGTATCACGCCCTGCGAGATGGGCCGGCGGGGCGGGGCGCCGCGTCTCGGGCCGACTCACCGTTGGACACGGTTGGGAGGACTGCCGCGCCGTCAGCGTGCGGGACAGCGAACAGGGCGCGGCGCCGGCGCACCCTGCGTGCGGGGCACGGCGCCGCCGGCTCTCACACCTCGTGTACGGGGCGCGGCGCCACATATGGCGGTAGGGGCGGCAGGGACACCACCCGAGCCTGTCCTCAGACCCTCAGATCAGCGGCAGTCCGCCTCTGCCCGGCGACACCGCTCCGTCCCCCTGCCCAGTGACGGCAGCTGCTCGCCCCTTTGCCCGCAGACGGCAGCTGCTCCTCCGCTGGCAGCAGCGCCGTCCCGTGGTGACTGGCTCTGGCCCGAAGGGACCCCGGTCCAGAGCTCTGCGCTCGACGCTGGGCCTGCTGCCCACTACATGTTGCGGATCTTGCCGGGGACGTAGTTTTTGTCGATGACCGGCTCCTGCAGGAACATGTGCAGGCAGCGCTCGTTCTGGGCCAGCGGGTGGCCGGCCACCCTGTCGGAGAGAGAGCGCGGCCGTCAGACACCGACACGAGGACTGCGGTCAGGGACCAGACGCGGTGCGAGGGGGGGGCAGCGGTCAGGGTACGACCGGCGTCACCGCCGTCCGAGAGACCGGTGCGCCCGGACCAGGGACCGAACAGCTGGCGGCAGCAACGGGCTGATCCCGATGACATATTAGCGGAGCATTGTTGGATGGCTGGTGCGGCGAACTAGCAGGCACGGACGGAATCATACTAAAAATCGGATGATTTAAGAAACAAAAACTCCACGGACCATTTGTGAAAAAACCTTGATGAATATCTCTAGCAAAAAGGCCTTGCTGACAGAAACGGCTGGTAACGCCAGTTTTCTGTGAAGCCGACTACTCTACTCCGCGCTAACCATACGCTCGTCACCGAGGGATAAATGGATACCGGCTGGAGAATGTTTACATTCCAGCCAGGCGCCAGTTGCCAGTACACACCGAGGGCATGGTCAGTGGTCGGCCATACCACTAATGTAACTATGGCTAGAATGCCGAAAGACAGACATCACACTGAAATTGAAGAGCAAAAAAGTTTTGGCAGGGGTCAAGAGGTTCGGTGTAAGGCCGCTTAACAATGGCAGCTTCTCGAATCCAGATAAAAATGGAGCTTTTAAAAGGAAAAGAAGGTAGGAAAAAATGAGTTAAAATCGTCCTGGCTCCAACTATTTTACATTTGATAGAAACAACGTACCCTTCCTATCAATAGCAGTAGTTTCTAGACCAAATGGCCAGTGACATTTGCATAAATGGTTTAGCTTGCATCAATAAACATACGATTCACGATCAGGCAGTGGGGGTCACTTGGGTACCTAGTACCTACACAACATGCCACGTAAAGCAACAACACTACGAATGTAAACACTGATCTGGCCTCATTCCATTTGGAGCATCACGGCACTTGTCAGCCACATACCGCTTATCTATCCCAGTCGGGAATAAGGAGGCTCGATGGCGGCCATCAATTATAAACAGTCACGAACACAGCGAACACCATCGATCGTCGTGCGTCGGGAGCGCGGAGTGGCCGCAACTGACTCGCAAATGGTCCGGACTAGAGATTACTGAGTTTAGAAGACAGCTTTAACAGTGAGTGTAGGACAGGAGCTATGTCTCACAGCCAAAAAAGTATCTTCTGTGAAAGTTCATAACTGAAGTTCAAACGCCTTTTGGTATGCCTTTTTCAATGTCAAGGACGCTATTTCGGGCAGTAGAAATGCCAGTAGCAAGGAAGATCGCCGCCGGATCAACAGCCTGCCGACTCACTTGTTGATGAACACCTCGAGGGCAGTGCGGCGCTCCTCGATGAAACCCTCCTCGTAGATGCCGTCATCGGAGCGGAACGGCAGCTGCCGCTTCAGCGCCTTTCCCGGCAGCGTCGGCACCACGATCTGTGGGCACACCGACACAACCGCGTCAGGCCGGCGGCGAGCGTCAGCGGCACGGCCGCAGAACGAACGTGACCCAGACAAGGCAACAAACGCTGACCATCGCATGCGTGAAAATGTCGCAACTTTTATGTGGCGAAAGATAGACGAAATACGAAAAATATAACGTGAATAAATATTGATAGATCTTGGCAAGAAGACCAGGTAACACTACCTAGGACCAACACTACCGACAGTGACACTCTACCTAACTCATCAATGCCTGAGCTGTTGTGACCGCTAGCATTCGTCACAGTTCCGGTATATTATGTTCTCACCTTGCTGTCCCGCTCCAGTTCGCTCCTCAGCCACTCAAACTCGCTATACCTCCGGCGTACGCTCGACTCCTTCACTTTAAACACGGGGAGATTCGTCTGCAACATAACGACATACACATTCCACAGATCACCGACAAGTGCCGTGATATCAGACATCGTATGACTAACCACCAACGACAGTGCGCTATAAGCTACGATACGATAGTAGAGCAAAAACACTTGACATGATGAGGTTTGTAATCGAAAACCGAGCAGCAACAGAAGAACATAAAGGCTGCTTACCCTCATCCGAACTTCGTAGTCGGTGTACCGCTTGGTGCCAAGTCCGTGGGTGATTGGATTTACGACATCAATCTCCAGGAAGTTGGCTGGCGCTGCATACGCGTCGTCGAGAGTCTGCTTCTTGGCTGCCAGTCGCCGCGTGGCATCCAAACTGTTGTCGGTCATCGTGACACCTGCAGAGTGTAAGACACAGTATGAGCTTAGATTTAGCTTGGAAAATACAAGGTCAAAACAGCACATGAAAAGTCCAGGGAATACTTTTGACACCTGGCTGCTATCATTTTAACGTAGGTACGTAGGTATTGTGTGGTATTGTGCAATTAATGGTTGACGGTGTAATTGATTGAGAAGCATTGTGTACTGAAGCGGTAGCTATAAGGATGAATAAGTTACAAAAAGAGACCATAAGCATTGTTCATTCACCTATTTACCTATTTTAACTTCTTTTTGTGTGAAAATATTTCACATCATTGGAAGTGGCTGCACAACAGCTGTGTAGTACCTGTGTGCTGTCTTTGCATTTATTAGACCCACCCCCATCCCAGTACACTAATGGTCACCTCAACAGCTCTAGTTTGGTAACCTTGCCTCCAAAACCAATAAACCAAAATCAATAAACAAAACCAAAACCAAATTGTCCTGTCATCATCTCTTTAGTTTTGAACTTTGAAGATTGAATGAGTGCAATATTATCAGCTCCAATAGCTTGTGATTCTTAATGCATGTGACCTGAGGTCATACGTACTACTCACATCATCACTGCTAGATGTTGTCATAAATCTGTGAAAGAACTGAGTGTTGTAACTCCTGTATTCAGTTATGGTCAGCTTGTCTTGAGTGGGGTGAAAGAGGACATAGCCAAGTATTTGCAACCAGTCACATTTTTGCTCAGAAGGTTCTTTCACAGATTAATGACAACATTTAGCAGTGATGCTGCCACGAGTATCACCTCAGGTCACATGCATTAACTCTCGCCGGCACAGGAGGGGGGGGGGGTTGGCACGACCCCCCTCGCGTTTGACCCCTGATCGAGCTAGAGCTTCACGAAAAAAACGAGCGTATTGCCCGTGACGAGAGGAAGCTGATACCCAATAACATCTCTTTAACAGAACAAAATTAATTCAGCTCAAATTTTTCAATGAGACAAAGCCATGTGTCATGCTTAAAAAAGCTTGTTGAAAAGGCTCTGACCCCACACTGACCAAGCAGACAATGTCAAGATGAATCAGAAAAAGTTAAGCCACAGTTGATTGTAGGTACCCACCAAAACCAAACCAAGCATGTCCCACCCCACACAAATGTCTTCAACTGGCTGTGAGTTGTGACTGCACTGCACCCACCAACCACAGACCATCCCTGTCAGAAGTCTCATAGAAGCATCATACATTGGCCATTAGGAGCCTAAGCTATAACCATCTTTTGATGGAGCTACAAACATTTACTCACAGAGCTACAGCAGACGATTGATTGGTTACCTACATGATGTATGTTCATCAGATTGATCAGTGAGGCTATGGTGCAGTGCAATCAGACATACCTTGACCTTACCCTACCTTACCTACACTTATCAGGATTTTGAGAGGCACTATGCCGGAAGGTCCTAATCTCGTTGAGAGCCTAGGTTCTGGATAAACAAGGTTAAATCTTGAATAGACATGCAATAATTGGTTATTTCTAATATGCAGAGAAGGGTAGATAAGCGACGCTGGGAGCATTAGGCACATGGATTGTAGATAGGTATGAAGACCATTTGTCACTCAGCTTGCATTCAAGACAAGTCATGAGCAAATAGCAATAGACAATGTCAAGGCGCATGTAACTGAAACAGAGATGAATGTTAGGAATGAATGAGGATGAATGAGAAAGGATAACACATCATTACCCTCACATCATTTTGCATGCATTACACACAACACATTATTCTTTAGATTGTTTTCATTCCTTAAAGGGACCCTCCCACCTTAACATTAGATTTGAGTTGAGATAGCCAAAATGGGGTCCCTGGCTCACAATTACCGGATTCGGCACTCACAACATCGAGAAATGCCTTAAATCGGAAATATTGAATTTCAAAATTGCAGCATTTTGATTCAGAGGGGCTAATGCTTAGGAATACCCCTCTGAATGTGTGACGTCAGCGCAAATATCTAATGATTTTTAAATGTTTGACTAAAACGTTTTGTAGCACGCGGTGGTATATGGTATTTGCGCGCAACATCTGCCGCAAATGCCGCACTTCTAAAATAAAGTCGCTAGAAACAGCGGAGATCCCAAAAAAGTAAACAAAAGTAAAAGTCTAATATCTTGAAAACCGGTGAATATTTTTCGGTGAAATTTGGTAGATATTCGTTTTCGCTCTTTCTGAACCGAGCGACATCACTTTCATGCCAATTCATAAACTTTTCTGAAGGTGGGAGGGTCCCTTTAAGACCTACCTTTTGACCATCTATTGAGTAGGACGGAACCTACCTAGTACAGCCAACCGCTTAAGTAAGGTAGGGTTTTACTAATCTCAACGGTTGGCTTTGACTGGCGATTGTTTAATGCGGAGTGGTCGAAAAGATTATGTCAATAGCTAAAGTTGCAGCTGCAAGGGTGATGATGCATATAAGCTACATTCAAAGTTTCATTGTAGTCTGGCTAATCGCTCCTAAGCTTCAGAAGCAGAACATACCCATGACTGAAACCCCACATCAGTCCCACGCACAAGGGGGAAAAGCTCAAAAAATTGAGCGCTCAAAAAATTGAGCGGGCCCCATTATGAAGGAATAGGCGAAACGATGGTATTTTACAATGCCGTTAGCGTCACACTACGGCAAATATCGTATCCAAATAAGGTATCAATGGCAAGAGAGAGAGCAACAAGGTTTCTTCTCGAACACTCGCCGTGATAATTCATATCGGTGTTTTTGGAAAGAAAATGCCCTAAAGACGCTCAACTTTTTGAGCGCCACTTGTCGTTCGGGACCGCGATACTCAATAAATTGAGCGCCGCAACAGACGACAGTCAGCTGGCGCTCAAAAAATTGAGTGCCGGCCAGCATCTACACTCAATTTTTTGAGCGTTCTCCGTGACAGGTGTAGCCGGTACTGGCTGCCATTTTTGATGTTATGTTCGTTGAAATACGTTAAAGGGACCCTCCCACCTTCAAAAAAGTTTATGAATTGGCATGAAAGTGATGTCGCTCGGTTCAGAAAGAGCGAAAACGAATATCTACCAAATTTCATCGAAAAATATTCACCGGTTTTCAAGATATTAGACTTTTACTTTTGTTTACTTTTTGGGATCTCCGCTGTTCCTAGCGACTTTATTTGAAAGTGCGGCATTTGTTGCGCGTAAAGCAGCATATACCACCGCGTGCTACAAAACGTTTTAGTCAAACATTTAAAGGACGTTTGAAAACCTGATGACGTCATCAGATTCCCGTAATGGTTAAGAGATAGGGACCACGCTGGTCCCACCCTGCAAGTAAAGGGAAGAAATTTCTTGAACACCATAAAGCTGCGGGGGTTGCGACCAGGATAAATGGTGGTTTCTGAGCCTGGCCGCAAACTTGGCTATCTCAACTCAAAACTAATGTTAAGGTGGGAGGGTCCCTTTAAACTGAGTTGAAACAGAAAGTTGAATGCTACGTGGTACCTAAACTTTTCACAAACCCATGGCATCATGTCACATTTTCCGCTAGTAGTTTTATCGGTCGCCTTTCGGATTCGGCACACCTCAAATAATTATACAGGGCTTGAATAATCCGTATGAATACTGTATTGATATTCTCTGACTGTACTGGGAGAAGGGAATACGTGAATACAGAAAGATATCCACCCACACTTAAATATTGGAGAATTATAGCAGGAAAAACTGTATTGCCACGGTTACAACTTACAAGGCTATCGGCCGCAAACAAACAAAAATACTATACAATGTGGGTTAGATTCACAAACATCATCAAGTGTGGAACACAGAGACGAGCAAAACAACATCACATTATCGCATGCCAGCCCGACCACATTGGAACCGGGTGACCTGCGACCGGAACCTGCGTCTTTCCAGCATACATCACAAAAGCAGGAGGCAGTGTCGTACTGCTTTGATCCAAAATATGCCATATAACAAATGATATAAACGACCTAAGCTCGGACTAAGCTAATCATTATCAAATCCTTAACATGTAAAGGACGAATGGAAACATCGAGTCTCAGACCAGCAGTAGCAACCATCACAGTAGCAACATCACAAAGAACACGCGGCATTTTCAGACAGCCGTTTTGTTATCGGGCTACAGGCGGCGACGGCGTGGTTGCAGACCAGCTGCGAGGTAGCGGCGTGCGGGCAAAAGGCGCGGGCACACCTCCATGTGGCCGTGCGGACAGTGCGCGGTCGGCGTCGCATAGTGGGCGGCATCGGGCTGTCCCGGGGCCGTCGAAGCCGCACAGGTTGTCGGCGCATGTGGGCGCGCGCGGTCACCACGGCCAGCTGCTCACCGCCAGCACAGACTGCGCAGCGTCGCCGCTCCGCCGGCCAGAACACGCAGACAACCCTTCTTGCAGTCGCACAACACGTCGCCAAACTCATTCACCTGCTCCACCATGTTGTTGATGTCACCTAGTCGTTCAAGTTGTGGCTCGTGCCGTCGAGCATGACCTGCCCGATCGGACACGGGTCAGCGGCTTCTGCTCCAGCGAAGTCTTCATCTTGGTGACGTCTTGCTGATCTCCACAAAGGCTGAGCAGATGACCTTACCCACAGGGACGGCCGACGTCCTCGCCAGCGACCGCTTGGTTGTGCAGACCTGCCAGAAAAAGAAAAGCTGTTTGGTGATCTCAAACGATTTTTTTCTTTATGCAGTGGAACAAAATGAAAAATATGTCGTACAACAGGAACTAAAAAAAGATGCAGCCTAGGTCGTCTAAGAAATGGGTGCAACATTGATAAAATTATTCATTGAATGAATTCTGCAAATACTTTTGATAAAATGTGTGGTGATTATAAGGAGACCACTTTACTATAAAATTGCTCAGGATTCCCTATCTGGACCTGTCAAAAAATCCTGACTGCACACCAACAATGAGCATAAAATCCGAAACCTCTACCAGGTACCTAGGGACAATTAAATTCTGATTCAGGAAAATATTTCACATCATACAAATAAAAAACCTTTACTATATTGAAACTGAAAATGTGATGCCGATCCAGTGACCTAAGGGTCTCAAAGTATAATAATGAATTAATCTATTACAAATTTGGTGGTGACTGCCGACCGGCGTCTGGCGGCCTAGACCTTCAGGCTTAAAAGTGGCCTTCCTTTTCCGTTGACTTCGATCCTCCAGATGGAAATGATATAAAGGATCATTTTTATCTTATTTAATATGAGCCAGTCAGCAAAGTGGCTATCCTGTTTCAGCATTCACACACACAATAGTTGACTGTCAGTCTGTCATGCTGTCAGTGTTGTGAAGTAACGAAGGAGTTGAGTTTTGTTGATTATAAATTGTGATGTTATGTAAAGGACTGGAAAATGAATGTGAAAACTATGGAAACATATTGGCAGAGTATTGCCACTTACTATCAGGACATATGGATAGAGAATACAATCAAATTAATAAGAAATGCCAAATATCAAGGTATTCAATCACTGATAGCAGTGGACTATCACACGTTTTAATGTCAATTATATGAAAGTTAAGACTGAAACTACCTTTTACCTCATCATACCTAATGAAAAATTGTGTGAAGAAAACATTCACAGCCTCTTTGAAGCACTTAGACCACTATAAAACAAAAATTTTCACGTAAATATGTTGTGTCTCCTTCCTTTAAAACATCATATCGGATGGCGCCACTTTCGTCGACAGTTACTTATGTGCACGCAAATCGAGGAAAACGTGAATTGATTGACGTTTACGTGTTTCCAAATTTAAAATCACAGCATATTCAAACTTTTCTGTGTACCTTTTAACATTTAAGTATAACTAAAACGATAAAAACTTACCTTCAACACAAGGACGACGACAACCACGCGACCGGAGACGTCGCGACGAAATAAACAAACGGCGCCGCCAAATGAAAAATATTCTCCGATATGGGTAATGTGAAATTGAGTCGCAATCATTTTGGGGTAGTATGAAAAATGCTCTTTCCAACAGAACCCTAGTAAAAAACGTGAATGGACAAAAAATAACTTTTATTTCGACATAAATATTGGCCTGTTTTTAGGTCATCCTGGTATGCCGTAAGATTTCGACCTATAAATTGGTGTTCCCCCAATCGTTGAAGCTTGAGCAGTGAAAAATATGAAAGCCTAATCTGTTTTGCATCATTAGTGATTCTCCTAGGGTGTTGCCATTTCTCCCTAGGTGTTGCGAGTTGCTTTTGCAAAACGTGTTCCTGAAACGGCTCAATTTTTTGAGCCCTCAGCATTACGCCTATGGGAGCCTCTGACGTCACACGCTCAATATTTTGAGCGCTCAATAATTTGAGCTTTTCCCCCTTGTGCGTGGGACTGACATTACTTCTGCTGTGGACTGTACCCACACTTTAAAGATGAGACGAGAGTACAATAGTAAAATAGAGAAATGTTGATGAAAGAACAATACAATACTTTTGATAACTCATAGTGATTATATTATATTAAAATATAAAACGTGTCCAACTCATAGATGAGTTTTATTTTGATTTGCGCACCACCAACCTGATGAGATGATGAAGCCACCTTTCACAGTACCGTGACGTAAGCCACGATTTGAAAGAAAAGGAGCAGACAGCAAATGGTGTATATGTACCAAGAATGTAAAGATCTCTCAGATCACAAAAAAGAAATATTGAAAAATACGGAATTTTTGCAGCAAAACCTCCCAATACAACACCGACACAAACCGTCGTTTACGATTGCGCCATAAATGTCATCAAATCAGCATTTGTGTTCAAGAATGACCTAACGTTTGTCAAGAGCAGGAAAGGCATGAAAATTAAACCGAAAATTCGCATGAATGTGACTCATTAGATTGCTAAAAAATCTTCTCATATCATATTCATTATTTTAAAAAGTGTTGAATATTAACTAAGCTTAAAAAAGTGATGAATTTTTAGAAAAATCTATTGATTTGACGTCACTTTATGAAGAGCATGACGTAGAAAACTTACATCAACAGTCAGTAATTACAAGTAAAGAACATGGAATGTTCTCGGGCACGGCACGGGCCGGGCACTGGCACTGCACGGAATCACGGATTGGGGCACGGGCGCGCGCGTGGTGTCTGGGAAAAGTGCAAGGCCCTATATACCGAAAAGTGTGGGTGCCGGTTCTGGTTCCTCGCGGATTTTCTGAATTTTTAGAACGGTTTCATGCGTCCATCGTATTTGTTTTTATGTTATGCATAGCGAGAAAGTGACTAAATTGAAATTGATTGTAGTGTCAGTGTCGTTAGCTAGAACACAAAAAAAAAGACTGAGAACTGAGCGGAGTCGGAAACCTTAAACCACACTGACAAAATATAATGCAAATTGTGACATTCCAATTCACTAATGATTTGTGATACCTGTGCCTGGCTGCTTGAGCTATCCTATAATGTTTCATTGATGTTTACATTTTCTTCCCGTTAGCCAGGATGAATGGTAGGACTTGTTTGGCAACCACTGAGTAGAATTAATTGACATGCATCGTTCTACCCACGGTGACTATAAATACCCTGACCTGACCTAATACTGACATACCTATTTCAACCTAGTCCATGCCCAGAATGTTTTGGTTTGCTTGTGAGTTGTGTTTGTCGGAAGTTAAAGTAATATGTTTCAGAAGCTTTTTATTCCAGCTGCATTTTCTTTTGATTATCCTATAACCCACATCTATCATGTGCTTCTTTAAGAGGTGTTAGTACTGGCACCTTACCATAGTGTTAT